AAACTGGAACCCCCCCCCCCCCCCTTCAGTGAAATCCAAAACTTCCTTCCCTCCTGCAAAGTCCAGCCTTTTATCAAGAATAGCCTGATAAGAAGTTTAGAGTAGGTCAAAAGGAACACATCCAGCTCCTCCTCATGTCAGACCAGGATTCAAACACGCTGAAAGCAAACCTAAAACTGGTACCAACACTGGGCAAAAAGGAATAAACACCCCCAAACAAGTCTGGGAGACCAATTGTGGAGTGAAGCATCTCCTGCAAGGGTTAGAGATGCAAAACCCACAGACAGCATGGACATCTCCCACCAGTGGAATTGTCAACAAGGAAAAAAAAACAGCATCAGAGCCCAGGAACCATCGAGAAAAGGCATTAACCATCTGTTCCTACCTTGAAAATAGAAGCATCCACCTCCTGGTTGTAGTCCTGCTTCCCGGCGTGTTTCCACGGGATGCGAAACATGGTTTTCTCCTCATTCTCCCAGATTAGCCCAGGGTACAGCTCACTGTCGATCTGCTCAATCAACCACTGCCGGAGCCGGCGCCCACCGTTACGGTCACACATCCTGGATGGAGCGAGAGGTCCAAGCCCCGTTAGCTCCCCCAGTACGGTCCCACCACACAACTGGGGTACAAGAGATTGGGCTGTGCTCTGGTTTGCCACATGCACAGCCGGTAGCGGCACTGCCTGCGCAGACAAGCAGCTTTTGGCAGCTCTGCAGGTCCCACGTGCCGACATCCGTACATTAAAATCTGCCCCCCCACTGCTTCTTTTGTAAGAAAAATCAAGGCAATTTCCTCCGAGTTACTACAAATTCTTCCACCAGCTCTATCCATCAAAGCTCTGCTCACAGAAGCAGGATGACTTGGTGCTCTGCTTCCTGCGGTTTTTTGCGGTGGGATTAAGTCACATAGGAAGCAGATGGACAGGGATTAAAGCACCTGGTTGTGCTGTCACCTGAGCAAGTGACACTGGACAGGCCATCCCGAGGCAGATGCCCATGAGTGTCTGCAGGAGCCAAGCACTGTCCCCGGCTGGTCTTGGCACAAGGATCTGCCCTGGAGAAGATGGGGGTCCCTCTCACTGGGCACTGCCTATTTGGGGAGCAAGCGCTGGTTCCAGGCAGCACCCGGAGTCACCGCAGGGATGGGCACCGCACAACTGATCCTCTTCAACAGAGCAGGGGGAAGTCAAGCAACTCTTGGGTCATTTTTAGCCAAAACCGCTGGATGACTTCATGGAATACCCATGAAAAAGCTTCTCCTGCCCAACTGGAAGCAAAGTACCAGGCTCAATCCTCCCGGCATCCCCCATCACCTCCATGGCAAGGCCCGCAGGGACTTCAGGAGTTGGTGGCCTTACAGAAGTGACCAGCAGTCCCAGGATCAGCCCTCCAGGCCTTTTGGGCTCACAGTGCTCCTCCAAATTTTACAGGACTGCCTCTCTCTCATTCTTTATTTACTGCTCCATGCAAGGATTTAGGGGAGAAGACAAGGATGCTCCCAGCACAGCCTGAGACCTGGCGGTCCCTGCATTGCCACAGGCTCACAGCAGCTCAGTGCCACCAACTTCTGTCCCTTCTCCATCGCCCTACTGCTCCACAGCAGGACACACAGACCACCCCGGCCATCCGCAGCACAGGCTCTGTTTTTAGGGACAGCAATAGCTAACACCACCAGCCAAAACAACACCAATGGCACAGCTCTGGATCCCGGTTGCCCCTCTGGAGCTGGATGCCCCAAAGCAGATGCCACGGCTCATCCCTGGAGGAACTCAGGTACCCACAGCCTCTCCGCACCAAACCCCTTGCACCCAAGTTACGCCAAGACCAAGAGCCTCACCAGTGCTTCCTGAAACGG